AGCTCCTGATTGATAAGTGACTCAAACACTCAGTAAATATTTCATCCACCATTAAAACCCTGCAGAGAAAATGCATCAAAATTGAAGAATGTCCAGAGACAATTAGGATTAATTATAATAAACTTGGCTTTAGAGGAATTTAGACATACGCTGCGACCAGACTCATGATTAATGCTGAGTATTTCAGACCTGGTGTAAATCTAAAGGAAAATACTCAAATATTTATTCTAATTACGTTTATTTCTGGTGTAGAAGAGTTTTGTAATAATAGATGATATTTAACATTAAAGCTTCTGTTCTCTGTCAGTAGAGTCTTGTGATTAACAACCTGTGTTTAGTTCACGTTAAAGTGGCTGCAGTGGAAAAGGTCTCATCTCGTTCCCTTGAGTCTGTAAAACGTTATTTCCCAGAACGACGTCTCACCGGTGACCTGTCGTCAGCTGAGAGGTGCAATGAGCGACAGCTAGTTTATCACCTCTTTACCTGCTGGGAAAAAAAGAATGACATTTTGTGCCTCTGTGGCGTCAAAGAGTTTTTTTTTATTTTTATAATAGCATGACAGTAATTTATAAACCTCCAGGTGTCAAGAGGAAATTGTTCTAAATCCTTATTTCTTTTATCTTTTTTTCCATTTCACCACCCGGTCCCTCTGGACCACTTCAGACGCCTCCGCTGCTGAAAGAGCTGCAGCTAAAGGTCACTGAGGCTGAATCCATGTGTCGGGTTAAAGGTGGAATTCAAATCGAATGCTTAACTCTTGTCACTCTGTTTCTTTAGAAATTATTTGGGCATCAAGCCTTTGAGTTGAAGAGAGAAAGGGAGATGGAGAGAGAGAGAGAGAGAAAAGGCAGAGAGCCAGGTAGGAATCGAACTTGCGACTGATGCTGGACTGAAGCCTCAGTTAACTTTTATTTAATTTGAACACCTTTGTTGTGAGCTTGCCACCAGCAGATGGGGCTATCAGATCAACTGTGATCATCCAGACACACACACACACACACACACACACACACACACACACACACACACACACACACACACACACCAAAGCACACTCAGGAATCCTCTGTTTAACAAATGCACTGTCTTTATTGAATGTTAAATACCGGACTCCAACAAGCACTTGTACGATGAGCTTGGAAACATACAAATGCAAATATTGTTTAATACTCTGCTCGTTACTCGCTGAATGCACAGAAGCCAGTTAAGCTTGATTGTAATTCTTGCATGCTTGTCGCGATGTGACGCATGTTGCTGTGTGCGTGAGAGCGTGAACGCACGCTGACATTTTCACCTCAGCTGGGAGCGCGCTCTCAGTCGCAGCAGGGGCAGGCTATTTTCTCAGTACATGTATCTGCCTCAGTCTGGCAGGTGGCAGCAGATATTGAGGGAGAGAGAGAGAGAGAAACGATGCAAGAAGGTGAAGCAGGACGCGGCGGCCGGGTGCTTCGTCTGTGTCGGAAAGCGGAGAGGGAGGTTTCACTGATCAGGTGATACATGCATACCACTGGAGGTCAACGAGCGTGTGTCTGGTGGAGGTGTGAGGTGATGCGGGCAGAGGGAGAG